TCGAACAACGGAATAAATTTACATACGTTATCAGATTATTTCCTTATATACTTGTACAATTGATAACTTACACATTTATAAAAATGGCCTTGAGAGGGAAATCAGCAATTATAGTATTCTTTGCTTTGAACTCGATTATTTATCGTGACACAATTTTTTAGACCAAGTTGTCGAGTATAATAAGATACACAACAAGGAGCAAAGTGTATTCTATATTATACTATACTATAGTGTTCACGCGTATCGATATGCTCGCGTGACAATTATTTCTCCGCGTTAACAGTAGACCTACCTAATCAGTCGAAACTACTATATTCAGAGGAATATTAATTTTTCATAAGAATTAGAAAATTCATTTTGACCTTTATCGAAATGGCAAGGTGATTAAATATACTCATTTATCTTCATCGTACCGCTGTAATTATTTTTACAGCGCTCACTATTATATAGTGGATATTAGTACTATATAAATATTAACCCTTTGCACTCGTATTTATATTTGAGAAGGCTACCAATCAACTCGGAATATTTTGTCATATTCGATCGAAACGAAAACATTTTTATGAGAACATATTACAATTTAATTTGCCGATTTAATAGAAAGAATGACGAAAATACCCAAATTTAATATATGTATAACAATAAAATGGCGACTATATGGCGACATACGAGTAGAAAGGGTTAACTATAAAAATCTAATTCTCATGAAATTCTTATCCAAAATAACTCTTATAATAATCTCGTTATTAATAGTAAATTATTAAAAGTAACAGTTTCTATTTATGAAAAATTGGTAAGTATGGTAGTATATGGTAGTATATTTTTACTAGCCGTTCAAAAGTATCATCCTTTCCAGAACAAACAGTATCTTCCCTAAAAGCTGGAACAAGGCTCGATATAAAAGCAGTTGGAGTTAATAATATTCCACTTCACGCGTATTACGGCGATCGTTTCGCAAATTTCCACGTTAAATCGCTTCATTATCTCGATCACAGACTCGGAGCGTGCTGCGAGCTGAATGTTAAGGTATCAGAGCCGATTTCCAATCTTTTCAAAGATCGACGAATTCCTAATGCAGGGTCGTGGAAACTTGGTAATTGGGTCCCTCGGAAAGGAAAATGAAGGACGGGAGAAGAAAAATCCGCGAGTTCCGAGTTGCACAATCCTTTGGAGAGATCGCTCCTGACAGTAGGTCACCTTCCATTGCCGGGTGCTGAGGTAATTCGAGCAATTTACTCGGACAACTCAGGCAGATCGCTGGCGAACCTAATAATTTCCTCCTTCTGTCCAAGAATCGTGCATACGTGCCTCGTCTTTATTTTTAGGAGAAGAATCTCGTCACACGAACCCAGGGGCTATCTCGATGGTCGCATCTCGCATCCAAAGAAACGTCTTACTTTCCCGAGGAGCATGCTTCCTTGCAACCTTTTCATCCCGGCCATCGAGAGTTCCTTAAGTAACGAGAGGATAGACGTGTAGTGGTTATCAAAATGTAGAAATGTCTTTAAATTATAGTTTCATGATCTTGGGAACTGAAAAGAATTTAAACTCGGGGACTTTTCTTTTTTATAAATAAATAATCCATAAGTTAATAAATTTTTTGGTATTCTATTGGCAAAGATTGCATGGATTCGTTACATAGTGGCGCAGTAGCTATTAAATTGTAGAAACGTCTTTAAAATATAGTTCCATGATCTTGAGAATTAAAAGGTATCGTGTCTTGAGGATTCTTCCGTTTTATAAATAAATAATCCATAAGTTAATAAATTTTTTGGTATTCTATTGGCAAAGATTGCATGGATTCGTTACATAGTGGCGCAGTAGCTATTAAATTGTAGAAACGTCTTTAAAATATAGTTCCATGATCTTGAGAATTAAAAGGTATCGTGTCTTGAGGATTCTTCCGTTTTATAAATAAATAATCCATAAGTTAATAAATTTTTTGGTAATCTATTGGCAAAGATTGCATGGATTCGTTACATAGTGGCGCAGTAGCTATTAAATTGTAGAAACGTCTTTAAAATATAGTTCCATGATCTTGGAAACTGAAAAGAATTTAAACTGGGGGACTCTTCCTTTTTATAAATAAATAATCCATAAGTTAATAAATTTTTTGGTAATCTATTGGCAAAGATTGCATGGATTCGTTACATAGTGGCGCAGTAGCTATTAAATTGTAGAAACGTCTTTAAAATATAGTTCCATGATCTTGAGAATTAAAAGGTATCGTGTCTTGAGGATTCTTCCGTTTTATAAATAAATAATCCATAAGTTAATAAATTTTTTGGTAATCTATTGGCAAAGATTGCATGGATTCGTTACATAGTGGCGCAGTAGCTATTAAATTGTAGAAACGTCTTTAAAATATAGTTCCATGATCTTGGGAATTAAAAAGTATCGTGTCTTGAGGATTTTTCCTTTTTATAAATAAACAATCGACGAATTAATGAATTTTCCAACGTTCCATTAGCAAAGAATGCACCAGTTCGTTTGATTGTTAATTTTCCGTTTGTTATTCGCAGTAAAAATTGCAATTCTATTGGCAAAGAATGCACCAGTTCGTTTGATTGTTAATTTTCCGTTTGTTATTCGCAGTAAAAATTGCAAAATTCGCTCGATTCGAGATATGAATCATCCCATTGGAAAGAAGTATTGCAAACAGGTACTACTGTACACGTGAACAGCGTGCTGCATCAAATTACAATTCAACGGAGACTAGTGGGAGTGCCCAGACTGTATTTAGCCGGCGTAATAGTTTCTTTAACGACCTAATCAACGTGGCTACCGTAAACTCTAATTACCGGTTAAACTGTGCGTTCGTAGTGAGATCACTGTGATTTCGTCGTTTAAGCCGACCTTTTGGACACAGCCTGCCAAAGTTCACCTTAATTCGGTTCGACTCTTCATTCCTCTCAGATTTATATATGAAAACGTCACATCTCGCAGCTTCTACCTTTTACCAGGTGCCATTAACATTTTCCTGTTTCAACGAATCTGATTATTACACAAACCAGTGTAATAAAATAAAATTTCACGTACCAGGGACTTGACCGCAAATTCCTAGTAGAACTAGATCAAAAAAATATCCGAGTCAGCCGAATGAAATAAAAATAATAAAAATTTCCCACAGCAGACCGGTCGGTATTCCCATAAAAATTCATTTCTATATTTTTCCAGCCGAATTTTCATCCCATTTTATCTCGCACGGCCTCCCTCCGGTGGCCGAAATTGTTCCTCGATGGCGTTACATAACGCCAGCCCTCCCGCCCGGTATCGTGTTTTGGACAGAAACACAATGAACTCGTTAACGCGACCGATTGTCAGCGTCCAATTTCAGCGGCCGCCGGATTGCGTAACACCGTGTCCATAGAAGCAGTAAGATAATAAAGAATCTTTGAGAAACGCCCGCTCTTGGGAGCACGGTGTTACGTCAGACGCCAGCCAGCATTATCCATTTAATCTGATAAATGACGTCGGGTTAATCAGGCAATGGCGAACGCAGCGCGTCGCCGGATGCAAGGCACGTACTCAACGCGCGTGATCCTCGTCCTCGGCTGGCTTTTCTCCTTGTCGCTGCCGCCCCGTCTCATCTTGCTCCTCCGCTTTGCACCGTGACCTATTTCGGCCAGACGCGAAGGTGAAGGAGAGAAGAGACGAAAATGGTAGGGAAAAAAGCCGCAGGAATCGGTAGAACGCGAGCATGCAACGTGTAATGGCGCCCGAAGACAACTCGTTCCTTGGAAATCTCGCTTTTGCGGTTTCCGACGGTTTTGGTAGACGAGAACACCGAGTTTCTTCTCCGACGCTGCAAAAAGCGACGTTGCACGGCCTGCGACAATCCACTCGCGGTAGACACGTTTGCTTAAGTCTGCTCGGTTAAGTTCCTACATCTGCATAAGCGGTAATTTCAAGCAATCTTTGTATTGTGTCGAAAAAACCGTGTAAATGCGTCCATTTGCGCGAATGGCCGTTCGATATGGGCTCTACAGGTGACTCTCGCGAGCTGATACAATGGCATCACAGTTCCGTGGCTCGAAATTCGTTACGTATTTATACACGAAAAATTCGACGCACGACAGTGCACGATGCATATACGCGTAAGAGAAATGTAATGTGGTTTACGATTTCTGGGAAATAGGCACTTCTAAGAAGCGTTATTTTATTGCTTTGCCAGTTTACTTTTTATCGAAATACATCTTTTGTTAGGAATCTTTTTGTAGAATGTCATAAAATGATAATGTAGCTCGGAACTAGTTTCGTATTTAGGTAGAAACTAGAAATTACGTGCATACGTGTGTAAAGCTTGAAGTTTAGGAGGTAGATGGATTGATCTTCTTTGAATTTTATGGAAGGCTTAATGATAAATGCAAATTTTCGCACGATTATCCTGGAAAACGACGAGGTTTCTCGATTTCTCGTTGAAACCGCCAGAAACTAATTTTTTCCGATGTAGCAAGTGCTCGTGGCCACAAGAGCGCGATACCACCTGACGACCGACGGCGTCACGCGATTGGCCGCCTCGTGGTCGGCCGACCAATCGGCTGATCGCTTTGGTATGGCGCGTCGTGCCGGTTACCGGCTTTCGCAGTGGTTCGGCTGCTGGCCCGCGACTGGTTGGCTCGCTAGCAATTGCGCGCAAAGCAAGAAAAAGCAAGAGCGAGCAGCATGTGCGTGGTCGAGATAAAGACAGACGTGAATCGTGATCGCGACGAAGCAACGTTCTCGTATGTGCGTGTTTCGGGCAAGGAACGAGAGAGATAGGCGGAGAAAAAGAGAGACAAGTAGAGACACGCGTGGAAAGAACAACGAGGACAAAAGTAAATACTGAGGAAAGAAAATGGACGTACAGGCGACACAGGAGGCAGAATGAGAAAGAGAAGGAAAGAAAGAGCGTGTGTGCGAGCGAAACACCGCGACGGAGGAACTGTTGGAGCGAGAAAGAAGCGGGAGAGCGCGAGAAGGACACGTCGATGAAAAAGGGGGGCACGGTGGTGCGGTGCCGGCTGCCTTCGGCGAGTCGACAGTTTGGCGTTCGGTGTTGCTAGGCGCGAGGGCCACTGTCAGTGCCAAGGCGGCAGCCGGCAACCTTCTCGTGCGACCGCGAATCGTGCCACCTTTTTCTTCGTTTCTCTTGCTTTCGCCGTACATCCGTTCCGTCATTCCTCATGGTCTTTCTCTCGCGACTGGTCCCGCAATATTTTCTCATTGTTTTTCACTCGCGAGCCAACGCCTCTGTCGAGGATGCATTTTCGAGACTGTTCCAACGGCGAACCGGCACCCGGTCTCTGGGTTGCTTCTCTTTGGCAGCACTGCGTCGCCGTCGTGGTGGTGCTGCGTCTGCGTGCGTGTGTGCGTGAAAAGCCCGAGGAAGAACATCATGGAGACACGCGAATTCAGTAAAGTGACGAACGATGATGGGATGTCCATTGAACCACCTTTCTCGTGCCACACGGTTGCGCCATTCTATAGGAATACCGCTTTCGATGGAACCGGCAACCAGGTAGAGATCAGATTATCTTGTGAAAGTTACGAGGCAGGATGGAATTTGAACGGTGCACGCATCTTGCAACAAGTTAATAAATTTAATCCGTAACCAACCTGTCGCTTTGTAAATTAAATTCGATTATTTTCTACCGCTAGAAATTTTCCAAATTTTTTCTCGCAATATGTTTCGTCGACGCGTATAAATAATTTGAAAGAACCAATGAAACGCGAGGTATTTAGCGCGCCATTCCATCCAGCTGTTATTTTCGTTTGGATTTAAATTTTTTTTAGTTTCCGTGTATTCTGGTATCGATATGTGCGCGCGTGTATATATATTTTCTTTTTCTCGTAACATAACCTCACACTAGTCCGGTGCAAAATAAATTTTAATACAGAGAAATGGAAATAGGTGAATGTATGAATTATGGAAGTGCGGAAAGTAATTCTATCACGTGTTGCATACTGAATTCCGTTAGGAGAAAAGCACGTAAAAATTGCGCTCGCATTCAAATACTAATACACGTTTTTGTTGCATCTTATCGCACGCCTGAATATCTCGAAACGTTTTCGCGTTTGAAACCGTTTCGTGTTAAATAATAGGCAACTTCGACCCACACAAGTGCCAGCGAACGATAAATCGTTTTGATTTCATCGAACTTGTTGCGTCTTATCTCACTCGCGTTCGATAGTCAACGAACACGCTTTCGACCGAAAACTTTTCGATACCGCGCGCACGTCGATGTGTATATTCGATATTTGAACAATAAATTATTTAGCAGTGCAAATGAGACTATACATGCCTGACACAGATGTATTACGTTACGATCGACTAGTTATCGAAAAAGTAAACAAGATATCGAATTACAATTTGTCACAGACGCCTAGAAACGAAGCATAAAAATAGAACAATCGTCGGTGCTTCGTTTCCCCTAGTTGATTTCACTTACCAGTAACCAGATGACACTTCTGCTTTCGTAAGCTAGTGACAAAACCTTTTATTATTTCGCCTGTCTTACGGAAAGTTTTTTTATTATTTCTCGTGTCGTTTCGTTGCATCAACGATGACGCAATATCGTGAAACGATTACAAGATTTACGATTCCAGCGTCATTTCCCTATGATCTTCAATTTTGCGTTGTATTAGCTCACGTATTGAGGTGGCACGATATGCGTGTTTACACGCGACACTGCGACGCAGAAATAAGCGGGGAAAATGCGCAGTTAGCACGTTGGTAGCTCCTAATTCGTCTCCGACTCATTTGGGGGTCTTTAAGTGTCCCTGTTCGCGCGATTAAGGGGAACGAGTGTATAAATCAGGCGAACGGTTTTTCGTGCGCGGGACGAAGCTGCGCAGACGGATGCGCGGTCTTACGTATCTGTGATCGATGTCGAGTGTCGTTGCTATCTTCTCGCCTTCGAGTTATCGATACCGAAATCGTGACGTAGAATTTTTTTAAGGGTTCGTTGATTTCGCTTAGAAATATATCGGATAGAAATAGCAAATGAAATGTATCGTCTAGTATAGCGTGTTGGAAATGTACATACCTTGGGCAGACAATTTCCATACGAGACACGACTTAACGGTTCGATATGTTAAGCGTGTGGCGTCTTTAATATGTCGTCTGACTGGTATCAGTCTTTTTATTAGAATATAAAAATTTTTCGATTTTAACGTTCCGCGCAAAAACGGTCTATATAATTTTCCATGCGATTCGAGTATTAATTAACGGAACCTCGTTAAATACATTTTACATCTACGAAATTCGAGATAAATGGTTAATACCTATCGCGTCGTCTCGTGTACGCACTACGTCACTGTACCTGTCAAATTAACAACATTCATAAACCGATATATTCCCCTAGAGGAACATTTGCAAACACCGTAACAAACGTCGTCGCTTATATCAGCTGGAATCAATTATTCACTTTAATTTACCGTGATCCTTTACTCCGTTCTCGTTAATATAACGTTTCTAACATTCAGTATGACTATCGATTATTATATTCTTTTTTGCCTCTTAGGTTATGCTCGTAATTTCTTCTCTGCCTATTACTTTCTGCCAATCGAACCGCGATCGGGAACCGGTTCTTAAATCTCGAATCATTACAAAGCGTGTACCTGTCCCTCTGTTCTCTTCCCTTCCCCTTCCATTTTCTTTCAGAGCTCTTCTGGACGTTCCGAGGCGAACACTCGTGGAGTCCCAACTCGGCTACGCGGCCAACTCAATTTCGTGGCGTATTAATTAATCGGGGCGCGCTTCGACAGACGTCGGTAAAGCAGTTCGCGAATCTATCCGCTGGGCGACGTTGCTCTCGCAGCGGAGTATGTGTCAATAACAGGAACCTCAGCCGCCCTAAAGGAGAAACGCGTTCGGATAACAATAACGGTCCTAGCCCAGCTCTTTGTGCGAGTGCATGCGCGTTCGGGCGAGCGTGTTTCCGTGTGGAAAAGGTCAAAAGATCGTGGAGAGGAAATCGTGTTACTGGCAATTAATCAGTCGACAGACGTGCGCGCGTTGATGTGTCGATTGTATAATACGAATTGATGACTCTCCTTCACGGATGACACTGAAAATTCTTTTTTTAGAGAATCCCAGAGACGGTTGGGTGTTTACGCGAAATTTGAATTTAAATTTGAAAATTTGAATTCGGATTTACATTCGGATATTTTTATTCAGATTGAAATTCGAAAATTTGAATTTCTATTAAAGGATTACTTTTTACTCGCGTCTTGTCTTGTGTTTCGAGTAGAGATCCCGGTTGAACTTTTGCCCGCAGATTTTCGCTAACGGTCGATCGGGAAATCACCGGACCTTATACAGGAGCGTGTCGTCATGGCGCTTGCGTTTTTAGGGGGTGACTGTGAGATTTACGTTGCAGGATGAACGTCACCGGTGAAGTTAGTCACGGAATTGGTAGGGCAGATCGGTTGAAAACAGTTTCGCGTAGTTAAACCCCACTTCGACAGTCAGGATAAATGAAGTGCTTATCCCTTCTCGCAATTTCTCTCAATAATTCCTCGCTGGATTTAATGAAATTTTTTCCTGTCCCACCGTTCACGTTAGTCGTAATAATTTCTCCTACGCTTCTATACGAAGAACATTCTTTAGTTAAATGTTCTCTTTTTCTCCGTCTCTCTTTTATCCGGTTCCTAGGTCTCTCTCTCTCTCTCTCTTTCTCTCTCCCTCTCCCCCCTCTCTTTTTCCCGGCCATTCTCTCTTTCAAGAATTTTGCCAATGCCAGCTAGTGACAATTAGTTTCGCGGAATAAATAAAAGAACACTCCTTATTGCCCGAGTTGTTTGAAAAAGCAGAACAAGCAGATTAATAAATGTTTCAACTATATAACTGCAACGCCTCCTCTCAGACAGCTAAGAAATAGCCAGGGATTAATAATTTTCTGCTTACCGTTGTGGTGTGCATGCTTGAGGAAATAACGGGAACTCGATGCTTTGGAATTTAATATCTCTTATTAAGTTATCCTCTAAATGCAGCATCTTTAACCCGATTTTCCGTTCAAATTTTTTACCACCTTTTACAAATCCATTACTAAAATTTTACCGGTTTAACATGCATTCGTTATCATCGAATGGGTAAGCACGCCATAATTCCAAAATGTTGTCATATCCATAGGCGTAACGAAAAATATTACAACACGTGTCACGTATTTTCATCTTCGATACGCTGCCATTTAAAATTAAAATTAAATTTTTTTTCAGCATGTAGAAATTTATTAATTCCTTCCCGATGAATACGTAAATTGCATATTTACTCGATCTTTTAAAATCCTGACATGCAGTGTCTTTCTTTAAAATTGCATATATATAACTCACCGTGTACCGAGTTAATTAACTCCACTTAAAAATCTTTTTTAAAATTCCATTGCCGAAGTATTGGACCCACGCTTAGCTCGATTAAAACGAATTTTTATTTTTTCTCCTTGACGTTAATCGATTTGTCAAATGCCTGGGTTACATATTACACGCGTAATGACTGGAAGGAAAACTTCCTTCACACGTAACCGCCCGTGCAATCAGGATATTGCCAAGTTCGTTTCACACCTGGGAACCCGTTTTCGTCCATCTTGAACTTCAGTGGGTCCCTCAATCGTTCAATCTCGGAATGTCTTCGCGAAGGGGTTTCGATATGGCGGCCGGCCGCGCGCGAAGACAGAGACGGGTATAACAGGAGGGAGAGGGAAAAGACCTTGAGACCAGCTGACAAACCGAGGAAGAAGCGGCAACAGCATCGAAATGGGGGGGATTGCGCAATGCTTCGAAATACCATGACATCGGAACGCCCATTGTCGGACACCCTGCCACATCCTCAGGGTTCCTCTTTGTCTCGGCGAATTCGTAAAGAGGAAGAGGATGAGCGAAGACGAGGAAAAAAAAAAAAAGGAAAAAGTACAGAGGAAAAAAAAGAAGCGTACAAGCCAACGTGTGGTCGCCTCTTCAACCCCTCTTCCTCTTCTGGTGTATCTGGTCTTTATCTTCCTCTCTCTTTTTCCCTCTCTCCGGTCTCTTTGTATCTTTCGCAGGCAGAATGTCGGCCTGTCCGACGGATGAATTTATTTTCGTACACGCCTTTCGACTTCACCGACAAGAGATTTATGCGAGAATCGCGGTCCGTGGCGAACTTTTAAGCGCACCGGGGATTATTCATACCCCGCGGTCGCTCGATGAGGAATTAACGACGGGGGACGTGTTCGTTTTTCGGTTAAACGCGGAGGGGTTCGTCCGTGAAAAAATATATCCTCTATATTTTCTCTGATTTTAAATTTTCTTTTTTTTTTCCTATTTTTTTCCCCCCTTTCCCCGTTTGGTTTTTAATCTCCTTCCTTGTTGGTTTTCCGATCTCCGCAAGAGCGTTCCGCGAGTAAGGTAAATTGCATCGTCGACATATGTATTACCTCTGCTGCCTCTCGTGGATTCAGTTTGTTTCTGGAAAAATTACCGTTCTCCAACGGGGTTTGTTTCGGTTGGAACAATTTTTCCCATGGAAATGCAATTTCAGAC